TTTATTGTTTTCCGTATAGTGTGACCATCTGTTCGACAGTGTTAATATAGATACGACTGAAGCAGGAGAATTGACCACAGTTATTTCGAGAGTACGCGCATATAGTAATTAGTTATATCATTTTAATCGGGGCCGAGTTATATTAACATTTTTTTTTTTTTTTTTTTTTTTTTTTAATTCAATAATCCCATCTATTTAAAATGCAAAAAAATTGTTCAATTTATTATAATATCTATTCTAGACTCAGTTGTGTCAATAGTATCGTTGTTGAGTAAGAAAATATGTCTTTAATATATTTTTTAATTTTGTCACATTTGCTCTTTTGAAACAAATAACAATTTTATTTATCTTTTTTGTAGAGTTTGATTCCATGTGTATTTTTGTGTAATAACCTTATTTAAAGAAATAGATCTATTGCCATATTATAATTTATATTATATTATCATAATTTTGCATAATTTGCTAGCCAATAATTCCGTCGCCGCCGGGTTATGTGTAAATGTTATGATATTGCCTGTATCTACGTCCTACACAATATAATTATTACAGTAAAAGTGTATAGTACCTATAACGTATGTCGTACTGTTTTTCAAATCGTATTTTTATTTGGCGGCCACTTGCGACAGTTTTCAATTAGCGTGCGGAGCGCGGGCGCGTGATGTATGGCGTTCAATCGCATTACGATTATTGTTATACGTCTTATTATTCAGTTGGTTGGTTGAGTTTTTTTTTTGCCGTGAAAAACTGAAAACACTAAAAACCGTTGTATTGAGTCCGGGCGCGTATAGCGAGTGTGTTGCAACGTCCGTCGGCCGCGACGTGATTTTTCGATAAAACTGCAGTATTGTCTGTATACGCCGAGCGCCGACGATATTTCGAAATTTAAAATTTTTTTTATTCTCTGTATATTGTCATGGATCTCCACTATATCACAGTAAATAATATAGTTTTCAATATACCGCCACGACTGGCGTGCTTGTATTTTTACGCCGCGGGAACCTATTTACTCATTTATATGTCTGACACTGCAGGCCGTATACTCATACTCCGGTGGTCGTTGTAATTATTATTATAATAATAATAATTATTTCTATTATTTAACCGTGCGATACACGTCATGATGTGTCGCTATATTAATGGAATAATAACATTATTAGCGATAACGCTAGGTATGTAGTTATAATAATATGTTAATTTATTATATATTTACTATTATGTTATTTTGATAAAATGAAAAAATAATTTGCCCTGGTAAATAAATGCAGGTCCAGACCTTGACTGGATTACATACTCGGTTTTTTTTTTTTTTTTTTGTACGCAGTCGTGGATCGAGAAAGGATTTTCATGTATTTTCCCGAATATTAAGTAGGTATTTTCCAATCGGCACCATGTTGCTGTATATCGCTGCGATCGTATATAATAATATTATATATATATATATATATATATATATATATAATGCGAATTCGTTTCATAGTGTTCGATGGCGGTTAACTCTCTCACATGGCAATAATAAGTCCCGCATTTAAAATATTTTCAGTGTTACTTGTCGTTTAAAAAAAAAAAAGAAACGTGATTACTTTTCTTGAAACTAGAACAAAACCACCGCAATATTTTAAAAGATATCTGTTTTACATTGGATCTATAAGAGTTTATTAGAATCCATTACTATTTGAATACCTAATTTTGTATAACTCATTATAACTTAAAATTATGAAATAAATTTCTTACTTTATTTTGTATTTTTAATATTTCATATCTTGGATTTTCTTTTAATATGTATACGTATTGTCTACATGATCTCGGGACCTTTGAACTGCTTATAGACCATTCAACAACCATATACAGCATAGAAAATTTGCATTCAATTATATAAAAGCAACTTTGTGTTATTTTATTTAATATTAAAGTAAATTGACCTATTATCAATCTTAAAGATAAGAATATTATTTTTGTTAGTGCGTTATTTATTTATAGTATTTTGATTATTTAGCCTGTTATAATAATTTACAAACTTTAATATTTTATATAATCTTAAGCTAATAAGTATTGAAAGTAAATATAACTTTTACTTATCGCAATTCAACACATGCGGTGGAAAGCGTTTTCTTAATAGTTGTATTGTAGTCGAAATTTTATTATAATACTATATCATTTATTTTAGCATTTGATACCGCTTACCTGTTTAATGTTTGGTCAATGATATTTGATTTAATAAAACTATATAGGTTTTGATACGGTGTAGGCAAAACGCCGATGTACTCATCAGCGTTTATTTGATAATTATTACAACACGTTCTGACTGGATATTTTCATAAACATAAATTTGTTCATTACTATTACTATTACTGTTATTATATCGCTGTTATATTACTGAATAGTGTTTGAGTATTTAACTATTACTTATGTTTAAAAAAAAAAAAAAAACATTTGTTCTATTTAGTGTACTCATGTGTATTAATCATAAACTTTTAACTTACACATTTACAGTTAAGTCACGATAACGTAAATCTCAGTAATTTAAAAAACTTTAAAACTCGAATTTTTTTTCAATTTTTCAGAGTGTCTATCAGTTGTGTTTGATGTACTTACATAATTCGAATAATACCTTAGTCAAAATTATTATTATTCCTCTTGAGATTCGAATTATGGAAATTTAAATGTTATTACCGAGTGAAATGTCTATAGGTATGTTTATTATTGTTTTAACGATAACCATATCTTCTTTGAGTGTCACATAAATTATTATTGTACATTATTTGTACTAACGAGAGATTACGATAAGTATTTATTGGTTTTTGTAAAGTCTAAATTATAACATGTAAATACGATCGGTCAGTGTTACACTTGTTTATATTATGTCTGTATAATAAATGGAAATTATTCAAATGCGTACAACCAGGCTATCGTAAAACTTGATTAAAAATTAATTGTTTCAAACCAATAAAAAATTGAGATGATGATTCGATAATTTTTTTAAATAGTATGAGTAAAAATAAAAAATCATATACTATTATTTATACATATTACAAAAATGATTCTGGTCGAATATTTTGTTATTTTTTTTCATTTTTACACAAGAACGCGTAACCAATTTAAATAAGAAACGTGTTACTATTTTTACAAATAATGGTGGTGATGGTGAAAATAATGAATAAATTATAGAATATACCTATCATAAAAAATAATAAAAAAACTAAACATTCAAATCGACGCTTTTTCTTGAGAAGTTTAATGCATCGTGTTTAACAGAAGCGGTGATTCGATTATTAATATTAGTCGTTTATCATTTCGTACAAGTTCGAGCGCAGCTACATCAAATCGGACAAGTGTTTAGGGTATACGATATACATACAAATACATGAGATAATTTAATGTCGTGTTTTGATGATTTGCGACAAGCAATCAATTAACAATCTGAGATGAGAGTCTGCTGCCGCCAAATGCAATAACGATAAATTTGTCTGTATAGTGACGTCGCCACCTCCGCTTAATAATATTATTATCATCATCGTCACCGCACCGTTGTCATTATTACGAATATTTTATCCTAATCGTGTCGGCGACAACGCACTCATAAAACAATAATAATATCATGAGGTCGCGTCTCGCACAAGGACCGTCGAATTTTTTTTCCTAATCTCCTCGGCGGAAACTCTGTTGTTAGATTGCATTGAAAGACGATCTACGCTATTTCTTGAAAATTTCCTGTACAACAGACAAATGGTATTTTGTTTATTCTCTCCTACATTGTTCGTCTGTAATAACAGGAAATTGTTTTATCGTTGTATGTCTTTTTGTTGCATTTTCACAGTAATTATTGTTTTCACAGCGACGGCGCGGCGCGACGCGACGATACGCTAACTGGTCAGCAATTATTTGTCGTTTTAAATGCACGAGTACAATAATATAATATTACATCGTATACTGTCGACATACTTTTGTCTCACGACCGTATTAGGTAAACAGAGTGATTCACCAAATATAATCATCCCGTTTTTCTTCTCCAACAACACAGTTACTTAAAATCTGATTTTAAAATATATTTAGGAATGTCATATAAAGATACTAACTTCTATTTTTAAAATGACAAGACCCCTTCTTTAAACAATAAATTATACAACAAATAATTTTCGAAAAATATTACTGTGTCAATATCAAGATTTAAACAAATAGTTTTTGAGTTATTTAACTTTGTGTACTAAAAATAATATGTCCATTATAATGGATTTGAGAGATACGGTGACTATGGACGCTATGGTAATTTGAAAATCTTAGTAATTTATATAGTTCTATCTATATCTGACATTAAATTTATTTTTATTTTTGAAAAGCTATTTTTTAAAACTATGAAGGGTAATCCTTTGGTATAAACATTTTAACAATTAAAAAAATAATCATTCAAATATTAAATTAGATATTTATATGATTTTTTTTTTAAATTATTCACTAAATTTTGAATACATATTTAGTATTGTACAGTCATACATAATGTTTTTTGTGGTTCTTGAAAAATTCATGAAAGTGTATTTACGAGTATAAGTTTATACCACATAAATGCGGCGCTTTACCATTGATATATTGTATAAATAGCTCGGTTTTTTTGCTTGTGTTTTTAACACAAATTGTAGTTGTACTTTTTATTTTAGACGTGTTCTGAATTCAGTCTGGTGACAACATGACTGTATAAATTAATAATATTTCAATTTAAAGTTATTCTTGAATTTTATAAAATACAAACCGAGAAATCAGGACTCCCATAAGATGTGCTTTCTTAAGTAGGTAGTTTCTTTTTTAGGAAAATGTATTGTTTTTTATTTTATAAAATTTTGTCTGAAAACGTTCGGAAACATATTATTTTTATTGTCTATTCTAAAAAATAAACGAGCCTATTTATACGTTTATTGAGTATTTTTTCGAGATACTGTTGCCGACGCTTAAAGTAGCGACGGTGTTGTAGTGTGGTTGTGCTGCGTTTTGAGTTAGATAATTTCTCGCAGGACCGGTGCCGAAGGATATGCTAGACCTAAAAGCTCACTGTTGTCCACTTTACAGCGGACTGGACTCGCCATTAATCCCTTGGCCGGGGCTCAAGTTCGCGTGCGTCCGAATACTTGAACTTTACGGCAAAGTCTTTGGGCAGGAAGAGCTTTGCGAACTTATTATTAGGTAATTCGGCTGGAACCCATACTATACACACACATATAATATATAATATTTATGAGCATACGGCTGACTCGTACTCATACATAATATGTTGTATGCCATCTGAAAAATTGATATTCTTGCGTAAAAACCATGGCCTTTGCGACTAAGTTGCTCGTTATGAGTTTTAAGTATTCGATATTTATTTCCAAAACGCCTATAATGATATAGTTGCAGGTCATTATATAAGTACATACAAAGAGCTTTAAAATTGGCCGTTTGATTAGAAAAAAAATATAAACAACTCAAAACGATGTACTTATCACAAAAGGTCTTGTTTTTTTTCTTGTAAAAACTCAAATTTCTCAAATGGCCTACAACATAGTGTAATATATTATTATGTATGAATCATTTAGTAAGAAAAAACAGCATGTACGTTAGTGGATCATTGACTCACAAGAACGACGCACGCGGTTTACCGGCGATTTTTTATTTCCTAAATGTAAATATTTTTGTCACGTTTTAGGAAAACATGTGGTAGCTGTAAATGCACGAAAGACTCGCACGATGTGCTGCACGAGGAGTGGGTTAACGTACGGGACCGGCTTGGTTTCAAGCCCGTGCAAGACCCGGACAAGAGGGTGTCAAAGGAGAGGTCTTATAGCCAAGGGTACTCATGGGTTCCTCCTGGGTTGCCTAGTCATAAGGTATATAATATTATATTATAACATTTTTTGGGTAATTATTTTCTGTATTTACAACCGTATGTTTGAATATTTTCTATCTTCATTTACTAACAGTTGTTAATTTAATTGTTTTATTATATTACAGGTAGAAAAATACTTCAACAGTTTACCGTCTAACAAAGTTCCTAAATTGGGCACGTCTGGCGAAAAGTACAGAGATAAGCAGGTAGTCGTACAACTACCGAAACAAGACTTAGCCTTGACTTACTGTAAACATGTGGAACAAAGGCATCATCAGAGCTACGAAGACTTTATAAATGCTAGAAACGAGATAGCATTAGACATCGGATATGCTAGAGAATGTACTTACCATGTGGTTAGTTGATTTATAATAAAATGTTTAAAAAAAAAAAAAAATGTAAATTATATTTTAATAATATATTTAATTTTTATATATTTATAAGTAGCCATAAGTTTCAGAATTGTATCTTGACCCTTGAGTATGGCATTATTTGGTATTGTTTTTGTAAGTTGTAGTATTTTCATTGTATGCTATAAATTTAAAGAATACCAAATAGTTACCTACGTTAAAATTACCATTGCAACTTTAAATATTATTTTAAACACTGTTTTGTTATAAATTATTGTAAGATTTATTTACATTGTCTAGGGACCATTAACTAATTTTGAAGGAAATTGCTACTCATTTTTAATGTGTAGATAGTTGATTAAATACAGTACCTATTCATAATGATTCACTTATTTTTTATTGTTTATAGATAACTTTAATCTCCTTATCTTCATTTTTGTGTTAAAAATATTATTTTTAATCTTGAACCAATTCAATGTTGATTAATTTAAACCATATACTTTATAAATCATTATAACTTAACGGTGCGCATAAAATTCAACTTATATTCATAGGCGGAAATCAGGTATTATTATTTAAAGACTAACTTTTTAAAATTTAAAATTGTTCTACGTTATATTTAAATGTACAAAAATATAGTATAATGTATTAATGTTCTTCTTAAGTTTTAATATTCATTTTAGATTTAAATTTTCCGTCACCTTGGCGCTCAAAATTAATTTTTCGTGTTCTTAAAATGAATCCAAACTAAATAAGTAGAAGCAAGCTTTAGGTTTTTTATAATTTATTTTTATGATGATGGCAGTCGGTTCTCATTCATAGAGCACATCAATTATTAAATAAAAAATTTTAAATTGTAATATTAAGTCATATCATGTTTATAATCTAACAATCAAATTTATAATATTGTTTCAATATTAAATTGATTTTATTATCCTCATATTGACTTAATCTAAAAATTGTAACTATTTATATTATATATTGTATTAATTAAATTGTAATTTATAAGAATACCGTATTATGTTTAGGAATGTCCGAAATGTAAGAAAAATGTTGAACCAGGTGAAATAGGAGTATTTGCGTCTAAATTTGGCGATACAGTTTTATGGCATCCGACGTGTTTCACTTGTACCGAATGCCAAGAGCTACTTGTCGACTTAACTTACTGTCTATACGAAGATCATTTGTATTGTGAACGTCACTATGCACAACAATTCAAACCAAGGTGTTCAGCTTGTGATGAGGTAAGAGCCATAATTTTATACATAATATTATATTATTGTGTAACAACTACAAAATTGTATTTGTTAGTGTTAAGGTTTGAAATGGTGCGATTTCATAAAATATCTATCTACTTTACTAACCAAATAAAGACAATAAACACTAGGTGATAAATAAATATTAAGTAAATTCGCTGTAATTGTGTAGTTACCTTATGTACATTGGAAGTAGAATAAAATGAGATTTCTGCAACTTGTGTGAACTAGCTGATAGTGTTGTGTTCATTTCAATAACAGATACAACGATTAAATTGATTTATTTATCATTATTTTAACAATGATAGTGATACACACATCCATATGTTTTTCAATATGTTTACATCAACATGTTTATTGGTATAATCATAACTAACGTATAAACATTGCTTGTTTTTATTCGTGTCCACACTACTATATTTAATAATGGTGTATTATGTATTATATATTTCAAAATTTCACCAACGTCTATCTTGTAGTAATAAGTAGGTATTCCACGTTTAAAATTTAGACAATTAATAAATTCACTTGTTTTAAAAATATTATTAACTAATTATATTATTTAAAATTTGTTGTAGATGTCTTGTATGTATTGTTATGTGTTTATAAATTATATGAATGCAAATGTGCAATCATATTAAAACTATCAACATTTTTTGTTAAGATTTACATTCTTTCTTAAACGTTTATGAAAATTATTTTAAATATAAAATATCAAAATAAAAATTTTGTATTTAATCTTCAACTGACAACTAGTTAACATAATTTTTATATTTTAATTTTTTATAATTGAGTATTATATAAAATAATTATTTATAGTATTAATTTAATTTTAATGTTAATACTTCAACTAAATAACAGTTCGTCTAATTATTAAATAATGAAATTCTTGCTTAACTGGTAATATATCTATTAGAAAAACGAATGTCTATTACGTTACCTTTCATATATGATGACAGATGGTCTAAATAGCAATTATTTGTAAATTAATAACATGTTTGTAAAAAAATAACATAATATAGTAAATTCTAGATTATCCTCGGAATTAATAATCCGAAATAGGCAGAAAATTAATACAAAAATGATTTTAACATGTGTTATTAACACAACAACTATTACCATTATTGCCATTATTATCAGATATATACATATATAGTATTGTTATTGTGCATATACCTTCAAAATTAGTATTTAATTATTTAATAATTCAGTTTTGTGGAGAATCGCAGATGTACTATAATTAGATAGTTGTTGTAAGTAGGTAATAATAAATATTTTATTTGTAGGTATAATTTAGTAAAGAAATTGTACTTGGCAGAATGTTTATTTTAATATCTATATAGTAATACTATATTTACTAAGTTTTATTCATTACAATAACCTTTAAATATTTTTTCATTAATACATTCTCGACATATTTTATATAATAATATAACATGACTATATATCATATAAAGAAATTGAATAATTATAATTGCTAAGTTTTACTATAGTTCTAGTAAATTGTTATGAATGTTATGTGTTACATTTAATTTATATTAGTACTCAGTACTTAGCACATATTATCGCAATTTATTTATAGATTTTTTATAGAACTAATTTTAATACGATAAGTCTTGCAACAGAATTTTTCACATTTTCAAATTTTTAAAAAACTGTCATAGGTACTAAATTTGAAAAATTAAACTATAAAAACATTTTCATTTAAAAATCAGCATGTTGCAAATCATTAGCTGATGTTAATTCATAACATTATTATTGAATGTATATTCTGACTACAATTTATAAGACAGATTCTAAGGGATCTATTTATTTATATATTTATCATGATAATATTAATTTGATTAATATATTATTTAAACCAGTATTAATTCAATACTGTGTGATTTCAAATTATTTACGGCAATTATTATCTAATGAATGTATCTAGACACCTCTTACCTAAGTATTACATCAATCAAACATTAAAAATGTATTTTTCTATTCAAATAAATAAGTATTTTAAAAGGAAATATAATATCTACACCGGTTATAACAATATTATTTTAAGAATTACATTATATTTTAAACAAATTTCGATAGTTTATAATAATAAGGATGTATTTTACTTAGACGGGGTCGGAGATCACACGTTTACGATTACTGGAGTTGAAGCAACAATACCTATAAAAAATAATTAATAATGATTTATTAGAATGGGTTAAATATTTAAACATTTGAACTCCCAGTCTCTAGAAATTCTATTGGATATAATTTGGCAGTTTTTGATTTCAAAGAATTACTTATGATCTGACCGTCAATGGTCCTTGGACTTGGGCCATCGGGTTAGCGAACTAGCCTAAAAAGTATAACATAGTGGACAATTTGAGATTTTACCTACGTTTATACCTAGCTCCTTCCCCCCTCGAATAAACCATATGCTTGTGTCCAACATATTTTTGGTTGACAGTTTTAATAAGTAAATCAGATATTTATATGGGAAATAAAATAATAATATTATGTTCCTACACCAACCTCGGCGCCATCTGTCGTTGATTATTTTAGTAGTCTATTTGAACGCATGTTGCTCGCCAATAGGTTGTGCTTGACGATTCACTGCTTATAAGCCAAGTCTACTCACTAAAATGTGTATGATATAATAATATTATTACCTTTAAGCTATGCTTTAGCTATTAAAATATTTAACATTAAATTAACATTATAATATTTGTAGAAGTCCAAAAATGTAATGTATAGCCGTAATTGCAGAATTCCTCCTTAAATCAACCGACCAAAACAATTCAATGTATAGGTATTTAAGGTATTACATATTTATATATAGTTACCAGTAGTGATTGTCGGGTGCCCTAGGAAATTTTAAGTTCAATTAAACTAAAGATAGAATCATTAGTATAGTTTATTCAATGCAATACACTGTGTATATTTCAGATATTATCTTATAATTCTTATACCTCCTTGCACACAATTCAGGTATTACTTAACGATAAATTTATAAGCAACAATAGATTTATTGATAAATTAGGGTTTTCCAGTAATTAATTTAAAAAATTACTATTTTAAAAATAATTTTATATTTATTTAGCTAAAATAATTTTTTTCTATGTTAATTCTTTTTTTTTTACAATGAGATGTATTATATTTTATGTATTTAATTGCAAAAGAAAATATTTTCTAAAGAATTGTTAATTATAATATTTTTATTGCAATAATAGATTAAAAGGCAGTTCAATTTTTTTCTTAGTTTTTTTGGTATTGGTTCTCATTAAAAAAACCTCTAGGTCAGGTGCCTAATCATGAGCTTAACCAACATTAAAATCATGTCATTCATATCCCTAGAGATTTACACGAAATGCTAACATATACCTATCGATAAAGCAGTATTTCTCAACTGGTGTTCTGCGGAACCCAAAGGTATGGTAAAAAATTTAGGAAAAATAAATCGGTAAACAATGTTTTTGATTTAAACTAAACGATTAATGAGAGAACGAACTTTTTACGATTAATGAGAGAACTAACTTGAAACTTCTAACGATAAATGAGAGCTGGCCTTCTCTTCGTTGGGACTGAAACAATGAGGGTTCAACTAAATTTTCAAATTCTGGAAAAGGTTCCATGACTTAAAGGTATTTGGAAACACTGCAATTAGGTCATAAATATATCTATTTGTATTGGCCAACGAATCGACGTCAATTTCAGCGACATATAGCTTGTAATGACCGTCTCAATACTCGCGTCGCATTACTTTCGCCTGGCATTTTGTAAACTCGATTCAAATTATCCGGAACGTATACGTTCTTGTTTTTTACGCGTGTAGTGGTAAGGTCGCAGTGACAAAAATACATAGTAAGAAAGAGAGAGAGTGAGAATGTACATGGTTTGCGGATAAAATTTATATCAATTAACCATACAGTAATTGGTATGCTGTTTGTCGACATATTTTTCAAGATTTTCAAAAGCGTTAAAAAATAATTAATTTTGGATAATATAATGGAATTACTTATCCAGTTGCTGCTATATATTTCTAACCAATAATTTAAAATAAATCGTACTATCGTCAATGACGGCTAAAAGTTTACAAATAAATATTGTATTATAATAATTTAATACCATGGCTGCGTTGAACTTAGTTTAGATACATTTTGAAAATGCCATTAAGGTATAATTATTGAAGTACCTAATAATGTAATAATTAATTTTATATTGTGTCAAAGTGTACAGTTAATCATTTCTATCCTAAATATTTTATTTTATAATTATTGCTTTAATAATAATGTACTTCTAATAGATAAAATAATTCTTACTTAATTATATAGATAATAATAATAAATTGACATACCCGTGTGGGTAGTCACCATAGGGTCACTGTTTATAAGAATATGTGCTAAGTAAAATGAATACTTTTGTGCCATATTTATTACACAACATCATGATTTTAATTATTTTGGACTTGAAAAAATTATTATTTATTATTTGATTAATAATTAAAAATTTGTTTTTTTTTATGTCCTCGGAACTTTATTCAATTACGATATTCTAATGAATGAATTGATTTTCAGGGTTTTACAAACTGGTTTATTGTTAATTTTTTTTATATATACATAACCAGGTTTCATTATAATTTATAATTAATAGTTTATTTTGTAGGTATCCAAGTCTACAATAAGCTTAGATTTTAAACTTGTTTTGTATCTATTTATTAAATACCTATATTAACTAATAGATTGTTTAATATAGCAATTTTTAGTAGTATTATAAAATTATTTCAATCAAATCATACGCATGAGTTGTATAATTTTTAAATAAAAATAATTTAGATTAATTAAAATCACTCAATATGCTCTAATATCCAGTGTCTGGAAAGAACACGCTTGTGAACTTCCGTTAATTTGTTTCTTCAATATTGGAAAATAAATACTTAATTTAATATATTAATTGTATAGTCCATAAATTAATTCTTTTTCGAAATATAATATTTTTTGAATTTCATA